TACCTGGTGCCCAAAAGACCTACCTTTTTATAAGGAACTATACTATAGAAACCATAAATAAGGGAACCCTATAAAAGGGTAGGTCTTTTCGGCTACAGGTAAGCCCTAAATCCACCCCAGCGGAGATCTCAGGATCGTGCGGGCGACGCCCGCGTACCGGGTCCTGCAGTGCATGGGTCGGCCGCTTCGGGTTCGCGGCGGTGACTCGGTCGACAGAGGGACTAACCTGAGCTAGGAAGGTGTAGGGCTAAAGATTCATGGTTTAGAGTTTTAGGGTTTAGGATTCAGGGTTTAGGGTTTAGGATTTAGGATTTAGGGTTTAGGGTTGAGGGCTCAGGGTTTATAGGGTTGAGGGTTTAGGGTTGAGGGTTTGAGCTTGGAATTTAGGGTTTGGTGTCCTCAATCTTTGGAGGGCCGGAATATAAAGCCTAACATGGGTGTTATTGCTTCCCTACAAAGCAAGCAGGTGTTGGTAGCCTAAAGAAAGAAATTCGACGTATGGTTTTACAGGATCTTTTTTCCTGGCGTGTTCCGTTCATTAGGGTTTTCAGGAGCATTCTAAACAGGGTCTACTTTTCAGGGTGTGCTGCCCTAAACACTAAATCAATATAAGCCCTGAATGGTTCAATGAGAATACAGGGTTTTGGGATATATTCGAGACCCTCTGTTGCTTGAAAGGGTCTTAGAATCTTAAGCGTTGCAGGAGTCGAGGGTTCGGGGCTTACCAAGGTTATATTGTTTAGGGTTTAGGGTTTAGGGTTTAGGGGGGCTTAAACACATCTAGGGCTATGCACTGTTGTGCAATGCCTTCTACGGTTTGTATGGGGTTTGTTTTAGGGTGGTTGATTTAAGGTTCTTCTTGATTTGACGTGTGGATAACTGATGAGCACCGTGGCGGCTATCCTAAACTTGCAGACCAAATACCTATTCAGGCTATTCATCATCGGCTGGCAAACTATGTCCCCTGAGCTGGGCCGCTGAGTAAAGTGTATACTCCCCTGCGGCTTCCCTCTGGCCTCAACCCTAAGCTTAAGCCGCAAGCCAGGCGAGCTGTACGCGCTCAGCTGCCCAACCACCCGAATAGCATCATTTTGGTCCCATAGTTGGCATGGGCCGACCTGGTTCAAGATTCTGACGCTCTTCGCCGTGAAAAACGGCATGGCGGCTGCAGCTAGGTCCGCCAGTAGTACCTGCATGCGCTTTTATTATGGGGCGGGTGGGTGGGGGGTCTGTTTTTTATAATAAGGGGGGTTCGGTGCATCCCGACCGTCCATCACGCAGCCGGAACCCTAAGCCTCTTCATTAAGCCCAACTAAACCCTAGCCTAAACGCGCGAATGATCTTCACCATCATTTCCCAAACAATACCCCTTATAATACTAAAACTAATTACGCACCAGTAGTAGCTGCTAGTTAGACTTAGCCTCCATGTTTATTTAAGGCCCTGATTAAACCTTGAAGCCCTTCCTAGCCCCCACCTAATGTTTTAATTAACTGGCAATTGTGGGCCCGAAACCGCGAAATCCCTGGGCCGGGAGATTTTTACATTCGGGGGGGGGGGGGGTCAATGTCAAGGCGAATGGATTAGTTGTTCCTATTTTTGTTGTTATTTACTGCCATCGTTATTACTGTCGATACTAGCATTATTGCTATCATTATGATTTCTTGCCACGCTTGTTATTAATTCCCTCACGCTTCATATTTGTCGTTATTTTTATTGGTATTCTTATGCCCTGTACAAACCCTAAACCCTATAAACCCTATAAACCCTATAAGCCCTATAAACCCTATAAACCCTATAAACCCTAAACCCTTTTTTGGGCATTATTATGTGGTTTCTGGGGAACCCAGGCGGCACTGAGTACAACCTCAGCTGTGCTGATGGGCATTCTCTACAGCGCCGGTGCTCTCCCCGACTTCTTCGGCCAGCTGGTTCAAAGAAGCCCATAGGGTTTAGGGTTTTAGGGTTTAGGGTTTAGGGTTGAGGAGTTTAGGGTTTAGGGTTTAGGGTGCAGGTTCAAACAATCCCATACCCTAATGACCTAATGGTCCATGTGCGCAAAAGGTATATTTAGGGTTTAGGGGTTTAGGGTTTTAGGGGTTTTGGGGTTTAGGTGTGGGGTTTAGGGTTTAGGGTCCATGTACCCAAAAGATATATACTTTTGCCCAAAGGACCTGTGCAGGGAATACTTGAAGGCCAACCTATATGCTATTCGGGTGCATGGACCCAGAGGGATACAAGCTGGAGCCTACGCCATCCTTATGCTAAGAAAGACTCAGGTCGAAGGCGCCACTTTCATGTTTCAGATCATTTTTTGCCAAGACCTCGCTTTGCAGGTCAACTCGGCTGGTGTTCCTTCGTCGCCGCCGTGACATATTCCTGCACCTTCGTCCTGTGGCAGAGTCGGCAGCCCGTCTTCGTCGACCGGATCTGCATTCCTACATATGACGAAACGATCAAAGGAGCCACCCCAAAACAGAGCAAGCCTATAGAAACATTTTGCCTGATCTAACCTGAACATATGTTTACTCCCATTGCCTGGGATCCTAAGCCCTAAACCTGAAAACGCGAGTAACATAGATGCCTATATAACTATATATATATATATACAATTACAAATATTATTCCTTAGGCTTCCTTATTATAGATCAATTATTGCCCAAAACCCTATTCCCATGATTAAGGCCCCTACATTAGGAGACCCTAAACCCTAAACCCCTAAACCCTCCAGGAGAAGCGCTCATAAGCCTGGGTGCATTTCTGAAATGCGCTGACTCCATGCTCGTACTCTGGGATCCCAGCTTTATGGACCGTTCCTTGGCTCATTTAGAAACCCTAAACCCTAAGCCCTAAACCGTATGTTTAGGGTTTAGGGTGTAGGGTTTAGGGTAATCATTTAGAGCTTTGGGTTTTAGATTTCTTCGGGATACTCGGGCATTGCGTACTTTTTTGTGGTTTTTCGAGACAAGCTTCATGTTTAGGAAATCAGAAACGAAACAGTATCATGTTTCGTCATGCCTCAGCAGCAACCCAGGCTTGTGGTGTATGTTCGAAATCGGGGCATTCTTGCATAGCCGAAAGCGAGGCAGAAAGCCCCTTCTGACCATCCGGCCGACTGTTCTGGGTCCTATGGTTGTCGCCATCGTTGCCGAGCTGGCCAGGGTTTCGGAAAGCCCGGAATGCCTTGTGGTGGTACATCTGCGGTGTAGGGTTTAGGACTTTGGGGTGTTCCTCGGAGATCATGTTTCTTCCTGTCCCACAATAATAAAAACCCCAGAAGACCATTCAACATGCCCTTTCCGTGGTGGATTTCTTTATGCCACAGATGAGGGGCACCCCGAAGCCTAAGGTCCTCGATGCCTAGAACTTATCCCTGAACCCTAGGCCCTAAACCCTAAACCCTAAAAAAGAAACCTAAACCCCCTAAACAAGATGCCTAGAACTTATACAATGGCATCCCGAAGACCTTACCCAAACTGCCCGAAAAGGTGGCCCAGAACTGTGGACCTCTTTTGGGATCTATAGGGCTTAGAGGGTTAGGATGTTCAGGTTTAGGGTTTAGGGGTTTAGGATTTTCAGGGGCTTAAGGGTTTAGGGTTTAGGGGTTTAGGATTTTCAGGGGTTTAAGGGTTTAGGGTTTAGGGGTTTAGGATTTTCAGGGGTTTAAGGGTTTAGGGGTTTAGGGGTTTAGAGGGTTTGGGGTGTAGGGTTAGTGCACCCCACAGGTCCTGATCAATGCGATTGTTACCTTTTCCTGGCGCTGGATCGGAGCCCTGCAGGAGTTCTATCTTGCCGTATTGGCTGTTTGCAGTGTGCCCATGAGGGTTTGGTGTTTAGGGAATCCGAGTTTTACCCTAAACCCTGAAGACCCCTGGTATGAGTGTTTGGTGTTTAGGGCTTCCGAGTTTTAGGGTGCACGGTTTCGGAGGTAGGGCTTTGATGGTTTGGGAGTTTAGGAGGTTTGCGGCTTTAGAGCTTAGGGTTTAGGGCTTGGTGCTTATAGGGTTTAGAGGATCTACAGTCTGGGCTTTAGAGTTTTTTTGGGGGTTTAGGGTTTAGGGTTTAGGGTTCAGGTTATGGCGGGATTCAGGGTTTCAGGGTTTGCCGCTTCAGGCCTTTAGTATGGAGAGGTGCCCATGGTCCCTCTCATCCACGTCAGTCGTGGTTACTGCCGGAAAATCGAGAAGCTGCAGGAGGAAATGGCTCACTTCAATATCGAGAACCTGACCAGCTATTGCTGCACAGTGGATCCTAGGCCCTCGCCAAGCAGCCCGTGTTTAGTTCCCGTAACAAGGGGGTGGTGCTACACGATTTTATAATGGCGTCATGTGATAAGGACACGTACATATGTATCTGTATATATATATATACACGCACACACTTTACTATACAACGATAAAATTTGTGTGTGTATGTATACATGGTACCCCCCCCCTCAGTTGCCCACTTGGGAGGGTTAGACGCTTGCTAGTGTCGTCATTGTTGTTTTGTATTGCTGTCGTCACAAACTCACCCAAACATAACTCTGCACATGTCTGTAGGTGTCTATTGTAGCCCCCTAATATGTGTGTAGTACCAAAACAAAACAACAGATGATAGAATACAAGCCCGCGCACGTCATTCACAGCTCTGATGCATGTATCTTGGGCACTGGGAAAGGAATCCGAGCATTGAGCTTCAATCCCGAGGATTGAACTTCAATACTCCCGGATCCAAGATTCAAGAT